GATGTCTGTAGGTTTACTTTTTTCTTGAGAAGATTTCCAAGAAAAAAGTAAACCTACAGACATCGGTCTTATTCAACAAAATACACACACACACACACACACACACACACTGTTACCTTTTTCAAGGCTGGGTGTGTGTGATTGTATCTTTCTCACAGTGGAAATACTTAATCAAATTTGATGAAACTTGTTCCCCATTGGGCCAGTAGTAATTTCACATATTTTAAATGCTAACATCCAAGGTTCAGGGTAGCTTATTGTGTGGCTTTGCATTAAAACAAATAATATCTAGTTGCTAATTAAATAAATTCATATAATTTGGTATATTTCAGTAGGTTTGTAAAAAAGCATTAAAATTATATTCTTTCTTCCTAGATTTTCAAGATAATTTGTTCTTCTTGATCAGATTGTTCTATATTTTATATATCTAATCAGTTTTAACTTTTTTTATATTCATTAACATATTTCTTTTGATACTTTATTTTGCTGAAAGAAACAGTCAGTTTTGCTGGCTATAAGTCTTAAACCACATTAAAAACTGACAGATTTATTGGTGAAGTGGTATCTTGCCTTTCACATTGTTCATAAAGTTACCCTTGTCAGGCTAGATATCTTTATTTTTTTGCCAACAGTATTAGTCAATATCAATTTGCCTAATGATATGGTTTGTTTTCAACAAATAAGTTTTCTTGTTGTGTGTTGTTTCAGTACGATAAACTTTTAATCATCCAAATAATCTGCTGATGCTTTCTGTTCTTGCTAAACCTAGCTAGACTTATCTAATGTCTTGTCATAAAAAAAAATTCTTGTAACTTAAAAACAAATATAATTGAACACAAACATCTTCAGGAATGAAAATAACATCAAGAGAATCTATAAAATTCCTATTTCAGTGGTTGGTTCCCAAGTATTGTAAACTTATTAGTATCTTCTTACTTGAAGCTCTGGGTATTCAGTATGTAGACAAGTCACAAATTATGTCTAATACCACCTTATTTACTTTACATTGACACAGAAAGAATCTCTTCTGTTCAGTTGTTTTTAGCTGTTGACTGTAGATATTCTAAAAGCCAAGCTTTGTAGTAATTGTTCAGTCCAGATGTTATCACATCATAAAAGGATGACAAGGAAGAGCCGTAGTGATAAAAACCACTGACGGAGAAGGAAAATCAAGTGAAATACAAGACACGAGTCATTATATTTCCAAGGGGTGATAGTTAAGTAAATATAATCCAGAGGAATTTAAAAATTGATCAATGCATTGTTTATAAGTAAGACTTCTTAAAGGTGTGCTGTAGTGAAAGTTGGAAAATATGTATTTTTTTTTTCAGAATTACATTAAATACGTGTGATATAATTATGAAATAGGAACTATAAGATTCTTTTAAATTAAAATTTCTTCAAATAATTAAATTATATTTTTGTACTTAAATTTTGATATGCAGGTATGCACTCGACACCTGAAAGGTGCTCACCTAACCTTATAGGGTTTAGTTGATATACTTTATTATCATGGTCTGTTATCATTTTGTAGGCTTAACTTTAGAACATGTACATTTTAAGCATGGTTCCTGTGAGATCATATTTGTGTAACTTTTTTTATTCAATATAACATCTTGTACATCTGGAGTAACAAGCCTAACGTTTAGTGTCTTGTAAAAGGAAATGATTAAAATTGCTGTAAAGGAATAGAAATTACTTGTTTAACAACTTAACTGATTTTACTTTGTATATTCAAGGTTTATCATACTGTTTCCATGATAAACCTTAGAATTACACTGTTGTTCTAGATGTATGAAACAACATGATAAACCTTAGAATTACACTGTTGTTCTAGATGTACCCTGTTTTGTACATCTAGAACAACAGTGTAATTCTAAGGTTTATCATGCTCTTCTTACATTTAGAACAACAGTGTAATTCTAAGGTTTATCATGCTTTTTTATACATCTAGAACAACAGTGTAATTCTTATAATGGCACTTAATGATTTTGTTTTTAGGAAGAAACACAACTTTTCTATGTTTTGTTAGTCACATTTTAAA